CGTGGTGGTTGTGGTGGTGGTAGTGGTTGTGGTAGTGGTGGGTTGTGGTGGTGGTGGTGGTGGCCCTGGTGATTGTTGTGGTGGTGGTGGTGTGGTGGTTTGTTGTGGTGGTGGTGGGTCTGGTGGTGGTTGTTGTGGTGGTGGTGGTAGTGTGGTGGTTTGTGGTGGTGGTGGTGGTGATGGTAGTGGTTTGTGGTGGTGCTGGCGGCGGTGATGGTGGTGGCTGTGGTGTGGTGGTTTGTGGCCGTGGTGGTGGTGGTGGTGGTGGGTTGTGGAGGTGGTGGTGGTGGTGGTGGTGGTGGTGGTGGTGGTGGCGGTGTGTGGTGGTGTGGTGGTGGTGGTGGTTGGTGGTTTGTGGTGGTGGTGGTGGCGGTGGTAGGTTGTTCTGGTGGTGAGGTGGTGGCTGTGGCGTGGTGGTGGTGGTGGTGCGGGTGTGGTGGTTTGCGGTGGTGATGGTGGTGGTGGTGGTGGTGGTGGTCTGTCGTGGTGGTTTGTGGTGGTGGTGGTGGTGTTGGTGGTGTGGTGTTGGTGATGGGTTGTGCTGGTGGTGGTTGCGGCGGTCGTGGTGGTGGCGGTGGTGGGGTAGATTGTGGTGGTGGTAGTGGTGGTGGTTGTTGTGGTGGTGGTGGGTTGTTGTGGTTGTAGTGGTAGTGGTGGTGGCTGTGGTGGTTGTGGTTGTGTGGTGGTTTGTGGTGGTGGTGGTGGTGGTGGGTTGGGATGGTGGTGGTGGTGGTGGTGGTGGTAGTGGTGGTGGTGGTGGTGGCGTGGTGGTTTGTCGTGGTGGTGGTGGTGGTGGGCTGTGGTGTTGGTAGTGGTGGTGTTGCTGCTGGTGGTGGTGCTGGTGCTGGTGTTGGTGGGTGGTTGGTGGTGGTGGTGGTGGTTGTGGTGTTGGTGGTGGTGGTGTGGTGGTTTGTGGTGGTGGTGGTGGGTTTGGGTGGTGGTGGTGGTGGCGGTGGTGGTGATGGTGGTGGTGGTGGTGGTGGTGTGGTGGTTTGTGGTGATGGTTGTGGTGGTGGTGGTGGTTGTTCCCCAACCAGGGCTTGCCTCTGTAGGGGTTCCAGCGGATTCATTTGGTTAGGTGAGGTGCGTCGCCGATTTCGGGGGCTGGCCCAGGTGCCCGGGTGCACGGGTGCCCGGGTGCTTAGGTGTTCTATCGCTCGATAGCCCTAGAGCCCTATAGCCCTGTAGCCCTGTAGCCATATAGCCCTATAGTCCAATAGCCCGCCCTGTAGCCCTATAGCTCTATAACCTTATAGCCCTACATCCCTATGGCCCTATAGCCCTATAGCCCTATATCCCATATAGCCCTTATAGCCCTATAGCCCTATAGCCCTATAGCCCTATAGACCTATAGCCCTATAGCCCTACAGCCCTACAGCCCTACAGCCCTGCAGCCTTATAGCCCTATAGCCCTATAGCCCTATTGCCCTCATGGCCTTCATAGCCCTCGCAGGCTTCATAAACCTAAGGAGCAATTGCAAGGGGATCTCATGTAATATCAAAGATGACTCTGATTGGGTTTTTTCTCCGGTATCATTGTGATGGTTGTGGTGGGTCGTGGCGGTTTGTGGTGGTGGTGGTGGTGTCGTTTTTGGTGTTTTGTGGTGGCGGTGGTGTAGTGGTTTGTGGTGATGGTGGTGGTTGTGGTGGTAGTGGGTTGTGGAGATTGTGGTGGTGGTGGTGGTGGTGTGGCTTTCGGGTCTTCCCGCCACCATGTTTTGGCTTTGGGTCAAAGTTCTAATGGATGCCTCTTGAGGTCTCGTCAGAGGGGTCTCGGGGGCGTCTGAGGAGCATTTGTGAAGCCTCCTGGGCCTTCCTCAGGGCATCTTGGTGGCTTTTGGGGAGCGAGGGCTCGATATGGCTCTTTGTGTTTCCCCTTTGCGGCCTCTTGGCCCTCTCTGGTCATCGTTGCTGCGTTCTTGTTATCGGCGCTGCTGGCCGCTGGCCACCGCCAGCGCCGGCGCTGGCGCCGGCGCCGGGGAGGGGGGGGGGGTTTGGACCTCCGCCCCCTCCCCTCCCCTCCCTTAGCCCTCTCTGGTTATCGTTGCTGCGTCCCCGCCGTCGGCGCTGCTGGCTGCCGCCAGCGCCAGCGTCGGCGCCGACGCTGGCGCCGGGGGGGTGGGGGTTTGAAACCGCCCCCCTCCCCCTGGGAGGGGGGGGGTGTTTGGGGAGGCGGGGGGTTAGGGTGGAGGGGGGTCCCCCTGGTTTTGATCGACGGCCCCGAGTGTTCGGGGGGGGCCCCCCCGTCTCGAAACGCGCCGCCGAATGTTCCCAAGGCGAGCACCCGTGAAACGCGCTCTCCCGTACATAGACTATACATGAGTACCAATGCACATGTCTACCGGGGGAGGGTATACCACAACAGAGAGAGGTGATGTGGGTAGGGTTGCGGTGCATTTATGTATTTGTATATTTATGGTGATACATATAATGCGTAATCGATGTGTATATGCACGCGTACGTTCGAAGTATAACCTGCATGCTATTATCGCGATGCGTATTTGCAAACGGTATACGCGTCATGTGATTATATAAAGATGCGTGTATCTTCATACGTGTAGCGTATACCGAAGGTACACAGTTTTTCACGTAGTCATGGGCATTCGTACACATGCACACATACATGTACACACATTACGAAGGTGCACACGCACATGTACACATGCATATGTATTCGTAGTGAACGGCGCATGGTCATACACGTATAGGTATACACTTACGCATACATACAGAACAAGGGTACATTTTCACGCGTACGGTTCTACTTGTATCTCATGCAGGCAAGCGGGTCTATACATGCAGTGTATACGCACCGCTAGGCTCACACATATTTGTATTCATGGAGGGAGATCCCGGCCCCCGCGCCCCGGGCCGGAACCTCCCTTGTATATGCGTGGGTCCCTCCCCTGGCGGCGTCCCCAGGGGCTCCGAGACGGCCCCAAGAAGGCCGAGGAGGCCCCCAAGTGGTCCCAGAGGGCCCCGAGACGCCCAAAGATCGCTCCAAGACGCCCACGATGATCCCAAGACGGCTTCAGTGGCCTCCAAAACGCGGCTAGCGGTCTCCAAGAGGCCTTCCCAAGAGGGTCCCAAGAGGCAAAAAACATTGATTTTCCATGTTTTTGAAGGTTTTTTGGGTTCTCGCCTTTTCGGAGATCGGACGCTCCAAGACCGCCCAAGAGGCCCCCAAGACCGCCCCAAGACGGCCTGAGACGGCCCCAAGACGGCCCCAAGACGGCCGAAGACGGCCCCAAGACGGCCCACGAGGCCCCCATGACGGCCCAAGACGGCCCCAATATTATATATATATATATATATACACACACACACACATCTACCCGGGGAAGGAAATCGGGGCCCGGAAACCACGGCCTCGAACCCCCAATTTGGGTCCACCCCC